AACTTTATCTCAAAATTGAATAGCTCCTTGGTCTTCAGATGCTATTTGTTTAGATACGCTCTCCAACACACACACTGGGGTCTTCCAGGAAAAGGGTGCATTTAATTTGCAATCATGTGTATTGGAATTGCACACAGGTGGCTTCCTTCAACTACTTGTTGAAGTATTTCTGAAGGCAATGGGTTGCACCAGAGCTTAGGCATATGCCACAGCAGAGGTGGTGTGAGAGAGTGAGAGTGTGTGTCCACTTATGCAACAAAGAAGTGCCAGTTTGTTTTTCTTTACCTAACTTTTATGCCACGATGAAAATATTTTGCACCCTCACAGTGTTGGATACTTTGTGATAACACTGCCAGTAAAACCCATTTCAGTTATAAACTGTAACAGAACAAAATGTAGAGAAGTCAAGGTGGAATAAATACTTCAGCGAAGCGCTGTACAATACAAAAAACATGACAGGAGAACAAAGTGGGATGGTGAGGAAGGGAGAGGTAAAGAGAGTTAGATGTTCATTCTTAATGTTAAAAAGTTCTTACAAAAGTTCAGGAAAAGGAAGAGCCAAAAGAAGCTAATGTTTCAGAACAGCTGACAGAGCTGTACTGTTTCCTTTCTCTGCTGAAGCCTGAAAGGAATGGGATGGATCCAATGTTGTTTCCTCAGCAGAATTGGTGGGATGGGAATCCCCTTTCCTCTGTTGTTCTGCTAGCAAAAGGAGATTGGATCTGACGTTATGGTGCGTACTTATCCTAGTCCGTGCTGTACTGACAGGGTGGTTACTACAGTCCTGTAGTCTGGTTCTCTGCCCTACAGCCACATGGAAATGAGAAATTATATGACAATTGCATGATCACAAGGGCAAGTCAATGTGTGACTCTTTTCAGGTACTGAAGAGACTGGTGATACCCACTTAGGCAGGACTTTGTGCTCAAACACCCTGAACTGGGGCAACCATGTTTATGGTTGAAACATCATTTGCTAAGAGAAATGCTGTTTGGGTTGTATCATTTGGGTCACCTTTAGAGAACCATCCTGCTTCATCAAATGCTTAAGAAAAATGATTCTGGTACATGCTGTAACCTCCCAGTTTGGCTACTATAATATACTTTACATGGCAGTATCCTTGAAAGCTGCAATTAAAGCAGAATGTGGCAGTAAAATTTATTTCTGTTAATATTGCATGCTTCTCGGGGAGCATATTTGTTTTAAAGGGCTCTCCTGGTTGCTAGTTTGTTTCTAGGCTAAACTCAGGTCCTGGCCTCTAGGCTTTGCAATCAGAGCCCCACCTTACTATGACAGATCTAGGCATATAGCTCTTTAAGTAGGCATTTTGGACAGCTATAGAAAAAATATAGTTGTACCCATGTCCACTCAGATATATGTCCCATGGAAGTCATTGAGACTCAATCCCTGGTAAATGTGTATAGGATTGCCACCTTAGACACACGTTAAACCTGCCATGGGCAACTTGTGTCTTAGCAGATGTTGCTGGAATGCAACTCCCATCAGCCCCGGCAGCATAGCCAATGGTAAGGCATACTGTGAGCTGCAAACCAACGACATCTGAAAGACCACAAGCAGGCCATGTCTTATTTAAACAGTTAGCTCTTGTTTTATCATTGATGCCTGCTCTTCTGGATTTTGACAAGTCTATTTCTCTTACTTCTGTATTTGTTTCATAGTATGAGAATGTCAACTGCAAAGTGGGTTATAAATCTTGTAAATAAATAAATATACCCCATCTCCTGCTGAAACATGTGGTTAAAAAGAACCAATGAAATATTTGATGATTGGTTCTTTTCTTTTTCAAAGTGATGTGTGTGTGTGTGTGTGTGTGTATTAAAACAATGCTGTCAACATACTGATAACTAGGTATATTTATTAATGGCTCAAGCACATTATAATGATCAGGGACAAATGGATAGAATGCAGCCAGCTAATTTCTCAAATGTATGAAAACAAGTCAAAAGCACAGAAGAAGAAACTGTTAAATCCATTCGTACATTGATTTAACTGAGAAGTATTTCATTCTTCATGTGTTTTTTCTGGGTGTCTTGAAATAATCCTTTTTCTGTCTCCATCCTCCTACTTAGACATTGTTCACAGACTTACTTATTTATGAAGTCTGAAGGTTAGCTCCTACCTGCTGAGAGTAATTAGCCCCGTTCTTTGTGTCCTGTGCAATCCTGTCTGATTAAATGTACACATTTGTCTTACTGCTTTTCATGTTCTTTCTCTCTCTACTTCTGTTTTCCTGATTGTAAGTTGCAATGATTTTAAAAGCTATTTTGCCTGCATCTTTCCTTTAGTATGCAAATTTCTATGTGAACTTTTTAATATATATATAATGTTTGAGAACTGGGGTAAGCTCTGTCAATCTCTGTATTATTTCGTATTATTCTTTTCCAGAGCAGTCAGTTTTAGTGTAGGTCTGCTTCCCTCTAAACTCTCTAAATATTGCATGACAGATTGGCTTTGTTTTGGAAAGCCTGAATGCTCCAGTGGCCCTTAGTTAGAGCAGCAGGTTAGGCATCCTGGGAAATGCGTGGTTTCAGTGCAGCTCATCTTTTGCTTTTGGACACAATTTCTATTAGGCAATCTACTAATTCCTGTTGCATTTACTTCGCGTGTGTCTTCCTCTCCCGCCCCCCGCACTTCCCTTCCCTCGCCACTTTTGTTCCTTGGCCATGTTAAAGTTTCCAATTGACTCCTCCATTGTTACAATTTGTCACTGCTAGAAGATCAATTTGTTTTACTCCACTCCTCGGCACTGGAGAATCGGGTGCCAGATGTCATTTCTTTAAAGCAGCCACGTTATTCTTCTGCTCCCCAGTTTATGCCTGGTCGCTTGCTGACAACGGCGAAAGAATGCGATGGGGCGCATTCCTGAACGGCAACCCCATCCCGACCCCCTATATTTGGCAATTCATTTACCAGCCTGCTTTGGGGACCACACAATCGGATCCCGCACACCCGGGCAGCAGCATTGATTCTTCGCCCCGCGCCGCGCTCAGCCCGTTTGGTGCGTTGTGCTACGGGGAGGACGGGCGCGCGCGCACGCGAGCAGCACACAAAGTAAACTTCGCACTTCGAAAGTCTGGGCAGCCCTTGATTCTCCCGCGCTACAATTAACTTCATCCACTTCCTACCCAGCTCAACCAACCCGCGTAGGTAAAGAGGGTGGGTGGCGTGCCGCTCTTCACCACCCTTTCCCTTACTTCGGTCTGCAGGCGACGTCTGCACCCCCCCGCCCCCGGCACACCTCCTGAAACAAAGCTAGCACACTTTGCCGGCGACTCCCAAGCCCACAATCCTGGGCACGCCTGCCCAGGAGTAAGCCCCGTTGAGCACAGTGGAACTTGCCTCTGAGTAAACATGCTTAGGGCTGCACTGTAAGGCTCACCGTCTGCGGACAACTAACTACTGGGGAGCAAACGCCATGGAAGTCAGCAGAAGTTCCTTTCGAGTAATGCACACAGGACTTGGGCACTGTGTAGACGCCTCCCCACTTCCCGAGTAGTTTTCAAGTCCACGAGAAACTATTTACCAAGCCAAAGCAAAGCAAAACACGGAACAAAGCAAACCAGGACATCTTCGCCTTCGGCTTCTTTTCTGCCACATTTCAAGAGCCGAAGTGGGGGAAATCTAAAATGCGTAGCTAGCTCTTAGCGAGAAATAGCACGGCTGCTAATGAGAGCAGTAGCAGCAGCCGCAGCCACAGCAGCATTTCAGTGCAGCCTTTCAGGAAAGAGACCAGCTCCTCGCATAAACACGCCGCCCGCAAGACCCCGAGCACGGGCAGTGCCACCGCTCCTAGCGATTCGCGTTTCCTCGGAAAGTGAGGGAGCAAAGGGCATTTCCAAGAGCGAGGCGCACGCGATTGCAGTCGCACGCACTACGCTGTGTGTGAAAGTTGAGTGCTCCACGAATTGCGCGCACACACGCGCGCACGCACACTCAGGCGAAGTGCGGCTTGTGCCCCCGTTTGTGCAAAGAAACTACTGAGGCACAGTGGCTGTCCCCTTTTACCGGCAGCCCGCGCTTCGCTGCCTTTGGTCATTCCTCTACAACTGCTGGATTCCCCTCTCCTCCTGCATTGTCGCCACTAGCCCGTTCCCTTCTTCCTTCCTTCCTCGCTTACCCGCCCCCCTTCCTGCTTTCCAAAAAGGATCATTGTTAGTTTTCCACTTCCCCCTCCTCCTGTTTATTTATGCAAACGTCACTGGGGAGCCCCCGCCCCTCCTGCATCTCATTAAGTGCCCAGTGTGTTTCTTTTTCCCTGTCAATAATCCTGGATCCAGACTACTTCGTTCCTCCGGATTTCGATCGCCCTTTTTCTATCTGTCAATCAGCGCCGCCTTTGAACTGAAAAGCTCTCAGTCTAACTTCAACTCACTCAAATCCGAGCGGCACAGGCTCCCTATATCTGCGGCTTCTAACCCCCCCTCCCGGTTTTACAGCTGACTTGTTTGGTTTGTTTGCTGAAATTTTTTTTATAGTTCCCCCCTCCCCTGTTTCTCCCTCCCTGCTTATATAATTTTTTTATTATTAATTTTTGTGTGTGTGTCTACCCGCGTGTGTCTGCGTGCGCGCTTTGCACGCTGATCTGATCTTCGGAAGAAAAGAGAGAGAAAGAGAGAGAGAGAGAGAAAGAGAATCCAGAAGAAGGAAAAGAAGAAACCCAAAGTCACTGGCGCAAAAGGAAAGGAGCAGGGACACTGCCCTCCCCTCCTCCTCCTCCTCCCTCTTTTCCCCTCCCCAGGAGGAAAGAAAAGGGGAAAAACTTTCACCTTTGGTTCTTTAAAAAAAATTGCAAACTTCCCCCTTTTCTTTCTTTCCCCCTTTTTTAAAAAATCCGTCCCCCTTTTCTTTTTTCTTTCCTCCCTCCCCTCCGTCCTTGCAAAATTGCTGCTTGGTGGGGTAAGTCAGGAGGAAAATGCCGCAACTCAATGGCGGTGGAGGGGACGATTTGGGGGCGAACGATGAATTGATCTCTTTTAAAGACGAAGGGGAGCAAGAAGAGAAGATCTCGGAGAACTCTTCGGCAGAGAGGGATTTAGCCGATGTCAAGTCGTCTCTAGTCAATGAATCAGAAACGAATCAAAACAGCTCCTCAGACTCGGAGGTAAGAGGGAACCCCTCTTTCAAAGGCACCTGCCTTGCTCCACCTTGGGGGTTCCTGGGGAGACGGGCTGTGTTGGGGGAAGGGGCAATTGCAGCGGGTGGCGGCGGGGTGTGCGTGGGGGGGGCGACGACCCCGGAGTTTTCGCCCCTAATTGCAGCTCTCTTTTCCCTTCATAATCGGCGAGTGCCCTGTTGCTACTGCCGTGGGTTTAGCTCTATCTTTGTTGTGTCAAGTTTTGCACAAACTTCTAACTTGTTCTCTTCTTCTTTCTCCTGTTCCCCCCCCACACACTTTTCCTCTCACCCACCCGCCCTCCTCGTCCGCTATTCTGTTGGCTTTTTGTTTGTTTCTTTATGTTTTAATTTTCATCCTTTCCTGATGGAAGGCGGAGAGGCGGCCTCCGCCTAGGTCCGAAAGTTTCCGAGATAAATCCAGAGAAAGTTTAGAGGAAGGTAAGTTGCTGCCACCCCTTTCCCTGTGGAAGTTGCGGGGGGGGGGAGTAAATCTGGAAGTCTCCAGTAACCCTCCCCTCCAGATGTGTTCTCTGTAACTCTTAAATAAATGTCTGCTTCTGCAAAACACTTTCTAACAGCGATTTCCCTCACTTTCTTTTATTTTCCCCTTGTTCCTCGTTCCCCGCCATGTTAGCTGCGAAAAGGCAAGATGGAGGGTTGTTTAAGGGCCCACCGTATCCTGGGTATCCTTTTATAATGATTCCCGACCTGACCGGCCCTTACCTCCCCAATGGATCCCTCTCGCCCACGGCAAGAACGGTAAGTGCCGTCTCCCCCCGGCTTTGTACGCGGCGATCGCGCCTTTGCGGCCTTCCCTGCGCAGCCCCGCGATGGCTCCCGCATGTCCCACCCGCCAGCTCCCCTCCGTCCTCGCTCCCGGACATGGCACCGCCGCCAGAAACTTTCCAAAACTTTTGCGCCTTCCGCAGGCTGGGGGGTTTGTTTACACGTCTCCATGTTTATGCCTTTACTTTCAGTTTGGGCGTACGTAAGTGCGCGATTCAGCCCTGCGCCTGAGAAACAAAGTGATTGCAGTAGTTTCCAGCCCCCCTTTTACGCAGGAGCAGACCCTCCGCTCTAATTTCCACAAAACTCTGTGATTTCTATAGCGCTCTGTTTTCTTCTGCCCTCTGGAGTGGCGACTTGGTCTCTTTCTCTCTCCCCTCCCCCTTTCCTTTCCTCCCACTTAACCCTTTCCGTGCTGCCACAGCCTTCCCGAGTTACTAATTTACTAGAACAGTTGCCATTGAGTGATTAATTGGTGTTAAATTGCATCTTTCTTTCTTTCTTTTTTAAAAAAGGGACTCTTGTTTTAAAATAGATTGTGGGTAGCAGGTTAACTGTGGGTGTCTTTCTTTTTGTGCTCTGTGGCATTCATAAGAATTTTTGAGAAGTTTCTGGCAGCTTTTTTGGGGCAGGAAAATTTTATTTGCATTCTTTTGCAAGGCAGCCTTATTTAAAGACACAAGCTCTTTTTTGTTGCTGGAAAAAGATTACAGATGTGAATTTCACTCAACACGGAGAGTTCATGGATAGGAATTCTCAGTCCCTCTGGAAATACGTCCTCCCTTGTCTTATTTTGTTCTTATTTTGTTAGGAAGGAAAGATTTGAAGGGAGATTTCTCCTTTTGCTTGTGGTGTGGCTGAGCTGTCTTCAGAAAGGGCCAGAACAGAGTCTCAAAAGGCAGATGGAAACAGTAACTGGAAACTGTTTCCCTTCTTTAAAAATAACAACGAGCCCAATCCATTAAAAAAAGCTGTCACTTAACGGATTTAAAACAAAACAAAACAAAAAAGTGTTACTGAAGGATATAGACTTTTCATGGGTGTGGCACAAAGAGGAGAAGGCGTGGCAGCGCGAATGGCGGGAATAAGTTGCTGCAACCCTCAGATTGTGGTTTTACTAAACTTTTGAGAGGTGTAAAGTGTTGGTTACTACTCCCACACGACCTCATGGATTTATGCCAGCTCTACTTCCTCTGCCCAGAAGTAATATATTTTTCATGAACCTTTAAAAGAAAAACTAACATATATTTTAAAAATATGAGTGTCAATGCCCCTAGGGAATACAGGACTACATGCAACTTGATTTGTTGTCAGGTTTTCTATTTAATGATTTAGCTGATGTGTTTTTTTTTAATCCCATTCTTCTTTAATATTTTCCTTCTGAGCACCTTTTCTTTTAGGGGGGTAATATGACACATCAATTAGAAAGAGTAGATTCACTGTTAAGTAGATGTAAAACCTGTGATAGGATTTACCTAGAGGATGGGATTTTTCAATGTCTCCAGTCTGCAAGTATTTTAAAACACCAGGTCAGGCATGTGTTTACTTAAAGCCCAAATTCAAAAGACAAATTACAGATGGGAAGGATGACAAAATAACATTCCTTCTGCACATTTAAAAGTTTTCAAGGATATAGTTAATTCAGACATGGTATTTCATAATTCACTTTTATTTTGCGGGCCATGGTTATAGCAAGAAGACATTTTGGTAACCACAGTTTTAGTACAATGGAAATAAAAGGTGCCTGAATTTTGAAATTGGAGAGTTGATGGGACAGGTAAACCATTACATGTTTGTAGAAGTATTGTGGTTATTTTGTGGCTTCTCAAAGTACTTTCAATGAAAAAAACTATTAAAGTGGTTTTTATTCAAAATATAAATGATTTTGGAAATTTAAATTAGGTTGGTGAGAATAGATATGCCTTATTTATTTAGAAAGGGGGAATGTAATGCCTTATATTTATTTACATCTTCATTTAGTTGCAAGTAATTTATCAATTTGTTCTGAATCCCTATCCATCACCTTTTGAAATGAGTGGGAACTATTTGTATGGATCAGACCCTACACAGTTATCAGTTAATGAGAAAATATTCTTCTTGCCCTATATTTAAACATCCTTTCTGTAATGCACTGTTTCCTTGAATTCAGAGCATTATATAAAAACTGTTATTTTATTATTGGTATAACAGGTGACCTTGTTCTTTGGCATCACATGGATTTAAAAGGCATTTTCCATATTGAATAGGCAATTTTATTATTTGTTCATCAGCCAACTGCATATTTCAGTTCCTTTCTTCTCCTTCAATAGATTTGTGAATGCAGGCTAAATTATGGTTTTAAAGGAAATCCATTATTTGTGCATGCCACAAAGAGGAATAATTTAATATTTAGAGAGTTGATTTTTTGTTTTACTGTTCAAGGTCTAATTGAAGAATTAGGGTGTCTTGTAAAATACCAGGTGTAAAGAAGGAAATATATAGATTTTTCCATATAGATAGAAGTATCACACTAATGCTTGACTTAATGTTTCAAATTGATCATTTTAGGTTTTAAAAGATTTTTGGTCTACTTTTTGCAGTGTCCAAATGTTTTATTTTTATTCAGAAAATTTAGCTATTCTAAAATATGCCCTTTAATTTCTTGATATTCACTGAGTGATTTCTAGAAATACTTACTTTTGTTTTTCTATATTAGAAAACAAAAATAATTCTGAAGAATTAGCAGCAGTGCAATCCTATACATGCCTACTCAATTGTAAGCACCACTGAAGTTATTAATGGTTACTACCAGGTAAATGTGTATAGGATTGCAGACTACATATGCTTATGATGAATAATGCATTACTTCAGAAATAATGCTTTAATTGCTGAAGACTCCATAAAGCTTGATAGCAATAATGTTACTTTGAAATGACAGAGATTCTTCTGCATAATGCTCATTTTGCCTTTGATAAAGTAATGTGCCTAGCTCTTAAAAGGACCAATATGCATTAGGGAAGGGTCTATTAGCAATGAAATAATGCATTCATGAACACACTTGTGGAGAGACTGGTGCAGTAGGGATAATAAAGAAAACTTCATTTCAGAATTTAACGGTAAAACAATTTAGTAGTTATATGTAATTCTGGTAATGAAAATACTGTTAATAGTAACAATTACTTTTTCATGAGTGTTGTGGCATGTGACTATTTACTACATTGTTTGTTTCAGGCATTTGTTTCAGAGTGTTCAGTGTAGAAATTGTTTGCCTTTTTTGCTGATTCTAAAATAGGTAGGATAGGGAAATATCCTAGTTCTCTTGTGATATGTTGAATACGCATTGGGGGAAACATTTAAAAAATAATGCCTTGAAAATTATAGCTTCTCTCTCTCTCTTTTACCCCTTAAATCAAACTACACAATCCTCTGCCCAAGAATGTAGGTGCCAGAGTGTGAAGAGTTAATAGCATCCCCCCTCCCCTTTTCCTTGCCTTGAATTGTTTTGACAACACTTTTCAAAAGTGTGACATTCTGAGCCCCTGCAATACAATGTAATATTACTGTAATTACACAGGTCATTACATTTTAAACAGAGAACAATGAAATGCTTATCATGGTGAAAAAAAAGAACAGGTGTTCCTGCCCTTCTTTGGTATTTATGCTAAATTGTTTTTCATCTCCTTTAGAAATATTTATGGCTCAGCATTGTTAAGATTTTTGCTTCCAGCGTGAGGGCTTGGATCATTATTAATCTTTAGGATTTGATTTTTTAAATAAGGGTTATGGTGTTTAAACTGTTAGATAATCATAATGTACATGCACTTTTCATATGTCGGTGTGTTTGCTTTGTGGCATTGATAAGCTAGCAACAGAATTGTACCATTTGCCTTCATGATGGCCTTAAAACAATAACGCTGAAGCAGCTCCCCCCACTCCCACCCCCTTGATTCTGGAACTGTGCAGCTATATTCAACAGATAGTCTTCTGACACCAACCAACTGAGAATCTCTCAGTTCTTAGCAATGTCAGAACTCTGTCCTGTTTCAGAAGTAATGTGTCAGCCTTATAACAAATAGCAACTAACTTTCTCCAAATAAAGTATTTGAATTTCTCTGGCATGGTTTCATTTTAAAGGGAGACAGATCCTCCAATGTTCATTAGCCAGCTTCTCTCTTGAAGAAGTGTGCAAGGAGAGATAAAAAGCATGTGGCTCTGTGGAAGCAAACTTTTGTGCTTCTATTATATTGAAATGCATGCCGTCTTTTTACTTGCATTTCCCAAATGTTGCTTTTTCCAATAAAGTAATATTAAAACATTTGAAGTAGCATACCAAGATTGATCTCTTGGTGTAGAAATTCAAGGTTTCATACATTCGTACAAAAATTCTTTTCCTTAAAAAGCAGGACACAGAAGAGACAGCTGCAGGGTTTCTTCCTTTCTTCTGCATGGATGCGTGAGTTTGTACACCATCATTAGAACTGCACGGCCCCCATTTCCAGCTGTCTGGTAGTTATGTGGAAGTTGGATTATGGCTGCTAAGCATGAGACAACCTGGATTTAGCAAATGCTTTCCTAAACAGGGTATAGGTGACTCTTGCCGGGCAGGAGCGTGGAGAGAGAAAAACCTTAGGGCATTAGTTCATGGTAGCTCTTGGAGCAAACATTTGGCATAAAGAAGAAAAAAGACTTGTGGATAAGAGAGCCTGGATGTGTATATTTGTTTTTGTATTCATGGCTGTAGGCAGAATTAGAATGTTCTTCCCACACCTTACCTGTTGTGGGAACTTCTTGTGTCTTGCTGTTAACAGACCTTTCACTGCTGCAGTTGCAGCTGCTTTATTGTTTGCACATAGTAAGAAGAGTTTGTATTCTTCCAAGCCTCTTTCTTTTTTGGTATTCCTGTGTCCTCTTTGTACTGAGCTATGGCAAATATGCAAGCAGAGCCTTGCCTGTTGAGTTGTAATTGGGCACATTTGTGAAGGAAATGGTTAATT